GTTGAAGTTGCCAGCATTGAGCTCTCTTGTGCCCAGGTTTCTTACAGTGCCAGCAAAGTCCCTCAAACCTCTCTGAAAGCTGACCTTTTCTGGCCTTGAATCCAGATGACTGTACCAACCTTTGTACCTATGTGCTGGACTTGACGTAGGATTCAAATTCGAGAGCTCTGGCCATTGCATCCTGCATGGTAGAGGGGTGTGCTTGCTTCACTTGTATCTTAAGTTGTGGACTCTCCAAGGCATCTACGAACTGATCCCTCAGCAACAAATTGAGGAGATCGGGTGGTGCAGTTGGGTAGGCCTTGTGTGCCATGCTTTCCAAGTCCTGAGCCAGCTCTTGCAGGCTCTCCCCTTTAGCACAGACTCTCGTCCTGAACCTAGCCCTGTAGACTTCTGAGTGATTTTGGGTTCCGTACATGAGTTCTAGAGCCGCTACCAGTGCTCTATATTTGTATCTGTCGTCTGCTGATAACTCTCCAAGTATTTCCAGTGCTTGTCCCTTCAACCTCGTTGCCAGATATACTGCTTTCTGCTCCTCCGTCCATCCATTCATCTCTGCCAGTAAGCTCAAAACTTGTGACTCTAATATGCTTCCCACGGTGCCTTCCCATCGAATTCCTGTGGCTAATAGGAGTGATTCAGTAAGAAGGAACTGACACTCATATCTGGGATATGACTTCTAACGGAACTGAATATGTCTGCATTAGGGTTTAGCTGCGGGGTCTGGAAGGGACTTGTTAAGTCGATGGTTAATGTATCCTCCTTGTGTAAAAGACAATAAATCGTCCTTTAATTCGCTTTTAAATTTACTAATGTTTTCCGTTTGTACTTCTTGTTTCCTTTCTTGTTCCAGTTGCCACTGCTGTAGTCTATCTTCTTGTTTTTTTCTCGTTCTTCATGTTTCTTTTCTTTTTCCTCCAACAACTGTTGTAATTTCTCTTCTTGTTCTTCTTGTTTCTTTTCTTTTTCCTCCAACAACTGTTGTAATTTCTTTTCTCGTTCTTCTTGTTTCTTTTCTTTTTCCTCTGACAACTGTTGTAATTTCTCTTCTCGTTCTTCTTTTTTCTTTTCTTTTTCCTCTAACAACTGTTGTAATTTCTCTTCTCGTTCTTCTTGTTTCTTTTCTTTTTCCTCTAACAACTGTTGTAATTTCTCTTCTCGTTCTTCATTTTTTTTGTCCCACTCTCTGACACCAATTTGTTAGTCTCTGTT